AGAATTAGCTAAATATGTTAATGCAGATCAGATATTACATTAATGCTAGTCAGATATTATAGTAATGCTAGCCAAATAATCTTATTTTGAGATCATATTAAAAATTTCATGCATGCCTATCTCTAATTACAGCCTATATTTTTTTTGCCAGCAGCTTAGGAATTTCTTAAAATAAGAAAATTCCATTAAATCAGACTTGTGGTTATACTAGTTTATAAAATTTTATCTAACTAAATTCATTTATTTTAGCTGTTCTAGTTCAATAATTCAAATGTATCTATTATTTTCAAACTATATACTTAAGAATTAAACCATTTATTGTTTTACTAATCTGCTTACTGTTATTGAGCTTGATTCTTTGTTTTTTATACTATCACCATTGTAAAAAGATCTTCTATTAATTATACTGAGTTTAACTTCCATGGTCATAAGTAGACATTCGTCTGATTGGATGATGTAAACCAATTGTCTGGATAATTTATTTATACAGTTTAAAGTACTTGCTAAGAACGTAATTTTTCACTAACAAAAAAACACTGTAAAAGCCTTTTCTAACTTCAAAAGGATGTCTATATTCATTATGCAAAAATAATCAAAAATAATCACCTACTCCAAGAACTTCATTTAGATATAAATATTTATTATAGTACTAGTCATATTAACTATATGTAAGTTCTAAATTCTGAAATTGCTAACAAAAACAAGAAGTTTAAGATGTTATGCATAAGATCCAAATTAATGAACTTTGTTAATACCATTTAGCATGTTATTATAACAACAAGCATATACTAATGTTCTTATTTTATGTATCTTAATGTTATAAAGTTGTGCTAATATATATATGAGTATTATTGTTTTATTAATTACATAGGTTAAAAGTTATGCTGTATCTTTAATAACAAATATGATAATAAATATTAACTTTTTAAAACATAATTAATAAATAAAAATAGGTTTGCTAATAATTTATTCACTTATTAACTCTTTAATAGGTTCAGGTTTTTATAATATTACATTTATTCCACTTTACGCATATTTATCTATTTTTCTAACTTTATATAATAAATTCTTTATATGTAATTATTAGTTTATAATCTTCTTTTAGCGAAATTTTCTTTTGTCTTCTAGCAGTACTAAAATAAAAAATGTTTTAAAAACTATGTAATTTGATTGGTTAATTATCTTAGGCAAACTGGTTAGAATTAAAAATGCTAATGATAGGAGCAAACAAAAAACTTATGATGAAAAAGCTTCATCTGCAACTCTATCTAAAAATCCATCTTCCATTTCTGTATTTGCACAACTATGTTGCACAACTACTCATTATTATAAGCATGCAACACTAATATAATTCTTATATTTAAAGGATTCTAAGTGTTTATTTCAAACTGTAATTATTTTTATAATTCTAATTTAGGGAATTGCAATTTGAGTTCTTGAAAGCCATGACCAAAATTTAAATAAAGTTAGCAATATCAATATTATTAATAAATATTCATACATTTTGAATAAATTCTTGTAACTATACTTGAATTTGCATTGACCAGTTATATTTTATAAAAAGGTATATTTGCACAAACCACTATATATATAATAAAAAAGCAATACATATAATATGAATAAATAGGAGTAAGATGAACTGAAATGATATTTTAAATTTGTAATGCAATTATATAACCATTGTGTATATATTTGCAGCATGAAATGTATACCAGATTTGTGACATAAACAAAACTCTTGCATATCTTGGTGTGTTAGACTTTGCTATAGATTTTCTAAATATGAAACATATTTCATTAAATTACAAAAAATGCATAATTTATTATTAAGTTTAATTAGTCAACAGCTTTGATCAACAAACTTCTGGTTCGCATTATACATAATTTTGGTCTGAATTTAATTTTAATGTGAAAATAAAAAATTTATAGTTTGGGCCTGTGTAATTGTAAAATTAGCCCAGGAACATATTTGACTTAGGATTGAAAATTACATTTTGCAAACTTACATATAATTTTATATAATTTTAATAGCATATAAATTTCACATATGTGATATATAGTGCCAACACAATAATAAATTTAGCTGTTATTATTGAACTTCAATAGATTTGCATGAAGCTTACTAATCTAATCAGTGTGCATATTATAAAAGCATCATATTGAATCATATGATAGAATGATCATGTTTCTTACAAATTATATATAATTTTGATTTCAGAAACTTATACAAACTTATATAAAATTACTAAAATTACAGTAATTTTCCAAACTTAATTTTACTTAATAGGTGGTCACAATTTTATTAGTAAAAATTTAAGTAAATTTTCGATCATTGCCATTAGCCAATCAAAGCATATATTTTTTGCAAGGCTTAACTGCAGTAATTATATTAACTACTTCCTTGGTTAAAGCTTTTATCTGATCCAATTTTTGTAAAATGTTTCAAATATCATTATACTATCATGTTATATTTATTTTTAAAAAAAGTAACTTAAAAAAAAATTATTGTTATATAAGCAAAAGAATGCATATATATATATGTATGAAATAGTATGCAAATAACTAAACAAGTTCTAATTAGGAATTAGCTGAATATGTTAATCAAGCTATATATTATATTAATGCTAACCAGATGTTATACTAATGCTAGCCAGATAATCTTGTTTTTGGTTCATATTAAATATTCTACGCAGGCTATACATCACATGTCTAATAGTGCACAACTGATATATTTACTAACTGCTATACTAAGACTCACATCTTCTGTTTCTGGTTTCATATGACTGTGTTGTGCAGCTATCTTATTGTAAGTACTGTTCTATATTATGGTCTTGAAGAAGAGCCCATAAAATGAAAATCTACCTTGCAATGAAGTGCAAAGGAAAAGTTCCAAATAAAATTCAAATGAGGATATTTCAGAAAATTCAAAATAAGAACAAGCAAACACTAACTAAAACACCTACTTTAAAAAAAAAATTCAAACTCTTCTATGTTACCTCTGGATTTTTACTATAACACAAAAGAAGCTATTGATAAAAACAAAAAAATAAGAGCTAATAAATTACTAATCAAATAAATTGTATGTTTTAGTATTTTATTTTCAGCTTTCAATTTTTCTTATTTGAGGATTTTTTAAGACATTAAACACTTAATATAATTCATCTAAGTGATCTACATTGGCAGCATCAATTCTGAAAATAAAAGCAGCAAATATCATACTAAAAATAGAAAAGAAGCTATCAAAATTTAAAAATCTTACATTATGCTTAGACAGTTGGTGCAATCCAATAAAGCATAGCATATATGCTTTTGTAATAATGATGAATAAAAAGAAATAATATATTTATGCTTTATATAATTTTTCAATATTTTCTTATATAGCAAATTTTAATGCTGAAAAAATACTAGAAGTACTAGAAAACATTGGGTCTAAAAAATTTGTTGCAATAGTTTCTGATGCAGAAACAGCAATGATAGCACCAAAATAACAGATTGCAATAAAATATTTATACATTTTATCTATTAGATACATTGCACATTATATACAATTAATTTCTAGTAGTATTTGTCATTTATCTTATGCCTAAAATGTTCTTTCTAACTGTCAAAAAATTATAAGTTTTTTAGGAATTTTTATATCACTGAAGCTGCTTTTAGAGAAACAATTACATTCTCTTTCACTGTTAGTAGAAATTTAAAGTCAACTACTAAAATCTAATGATCAACAGCATGGGATTCTTGTAAATCTGTTTTATACAATAAAGCAAATATTAGATCAGTAATTATTATAATTAAATTTTTGATTCAAATATTATTTAAGATTTGCAAAGGTTTTCCTTCTGTGGAACTCCTCTTATTGCATTTTTACTTCAATCTTTCTATATGATTATATTGCTTGATTCTTTTATACTTATACAAGCATGTTATGTTATATACTTTAACAGCATTTTTTAAATTAATTTTTTATAATAGGTTTTAGAACAAGAACCTCAAATTTTTGATCATACAAATACAGTAAAAAATCTAATTACTAATTGTCAATTTTGGATTAACATAGAGCAATTTCAAAATATTCTTGGTCTGATAAAACAGGCTGTAAAGAATGTAGAGTTTCAAACTACTTTGTTGGCAGATGTATTTATTAAATTGGTAAAAATGGCAATTTCAATTCAAGAAACTTCTATTTTATACAATAACTAGTTCTAGCATAATTGTATCACTATTTATAACAAACGATGAAAAGAATTTGATACAAACTTATATCTTTTATTATTTTTTTTACATTCAGCTTATTGTGGTACTTTAAACTAACATATTTTAAATGCATAAATTTTATATTATTTTTATTTTATATTATTTATTTTTATTTATTCTTATACAGATGATTTTCTTGAACTCAGTATATATAAAAACTATGTTCTTAAAAAAGTATTAGAAATATAGAAACTATTTGGTGATAGTTGAATAAGTGCAGATCTTTTAAAAACTCAAATGAGTTTGTACAAAAACAGAAAGCATCCTTTCAATGATAAATTTGTCAAATCTGCTGATATGGTTACTAATTGATAGATATTTATAGATCTTAAAAGAAATAAAGATTATATTAAACATCTTGCTTTAAAAAACATTCTATTTCTCCTTATAATGCTACTTGTGAACATGTCTTTAGCATACTAGGATGGTATTTTGGAAAAAGATGAACTAAATGAGTTCTTATTTGGAATTCCTTGTTTAATTTAGAAAATATTGAAATTATATTATATTTGATATATAAATTTAAGTTACTGTCACTTGCTTGCTAATTCGGATAAGCTATAAAATATCATGAGATCTTAATATTTTTTTGTCATAACTAATCTAAAAAATAAATTGTTAAAAAAAAAATTTTTTTAATTTTTGCTAAGAGATTACAATTTATTTTAGCTTAATTATAGTTATAAGTGACTAATTACAAATTATATTTTTAAATTAAGTGTTGAATGCCTAGAGATTATAGCTCAGATGCATTCATATTTAGTTAAGAATGCCAAATCAGAACTTAATTATATTGATCCAAATATTTGCCAAGAAAATTTCTTATCAGTATTCAACAAAATCACAATATTTATAAAAGATGGTACTGATTTATTTAGCAAAAAAGATTTATTTTCTTTTCTAGAAGAACTTACAATAAAAAAAGACACAGAAGAGTTTTCAAAAGAATTAGATGACTTAGTTAAAGAAAATTTAACAAGTTTAGAAGTCAAAAATTTCATAACTTTATTGTTCAAATTAGAGCTTAATGAGTCTTTAAGTATAACTGAAGAAATTATATATGAAGACAGAAATTTTAATATAAATAATTTACTTTAATTAATAAATATAATTACTATCTAATCTAGAGATCAGTTGATTTTTTTTCTTTTTTTTTCTTAAAAAATTTTTTTTTTAAAAATCTGCAAGTCGTAAGACCAAAAAAAAAATTTTTTTATTTTGTGATTACCAAAGTTATCTATTAATAAGTATATGTGCTTTTGTTATTTGGTTCTATTTTTTATTATTATTATTTACTATTTATTTTTATTTTTAGAAGATATGCCACAATAAGACAAAACTATAGATATACCAAATTTTTAATTTAAAACTAATAGCCTAATGCCTTCATTATATCAAGGTCATACTATATTTTGTTTTTAATTTATTTATAATTTTTTTTTCTTTTTAACTTAATTTACAATTTATCTATTTATTTATTATTTTAATTTATATTTTTTAGTTCAATTAGATCTATGAAAAAAATTATATTAATAACTGCTCTGAAAAATTTTAAATTAAAGTTAGAAAATATGATTAGATTCTTTTTAATAGAGTATTTAATTTTCAAAACATTGGCAAAGATTTTATTAACTTGATTATATAGATAAAATAACCTGCAACCTTTAAAAATATTATAAGCAGAAATACTGTTTAGATTGTAATAGAGTTTCTGATGAGATTCTTTTATCTATTTGATAGAATGTAATAATTTTATGAATTGTTATGTATAATGTGATCTATGAATCATAAGCACAATTCTAAAAGGTAATGCATATAGACTAAGAAATTTAAATGTATTCTATGCTTAAATCTTTTTTTTCAGAAGTAATAGTACTTTAACTCTTTTTTTAGTAAGAAGTAGTTAAGAAAGAATGAGTTTCATATATGTTTCTAGTAAAAGTACTGTCAATGCCATTTCTTTATATCAATATATGTCACTATAGATGAAAGTTATATCTCAAAAAATTTGTAAACAAATTCTTGAACTTGCAAAAAAAAAACTGACACTCTCACAAATTAGCTTGTGCCTTCAGAACTTGTTTTTTTTTTTTTTTTTTTTAAACTTTGGCGACAATGCCAGTTGGTTTTTATTAGCTTAATTTTGATATAGTACAAATTTATTGTTACATTTTAGGATCGATTATTACTAGTACTATATACTATCTAATTTAACACCACTGACTTTATCTGATTACCCTTATAGCACCTAAGTGCATGCCCGCCACATGCCTGCATGCAGTTACCTTGGCAACCACTTGCGGTCATGGCATATATTAAACTACTACACAGACAAGGATATCTACCGAACTTAATATAGCATCCCAAATGCCAGAGGTACTGTCTTTTGTAAATCGTATTTATATGTTCTACTCACATGTTTTACCTGGTCTTGTTTCTTCTGCCTCCTAATTTAACTATATATAATATTACCTTGTTCTCCACATTTTCCACTTTTTCATTACTGTATCACTCCCAAATTGGTCCTACTCAGGTATGTCTGATACAACATGGATTGCAAATAGTAAAAAACAGCTAATGGTAATATTAAAAATAGCAGAAGAATTCTTCAAAATGAATGATATAGAGATAAATGGATCCAAATTAAAGCTTTTGATAATGAATACAAAAATAAAGAAAGAGAAAAGAAGTGTAATCTTTGGAGAAAGCAAGATAATAGAAGAAGCAAAAAACAAGATAGTCTGCTTACTAGAGATATAGCTAAATAACAGAATGAGTGAAGTGCTAGTAAAAAAGAAAGCTAAAGGAATAATCAGCCAAACAATAAGAGATCTTAGATACAAAAAGATGACAATG